GAAGCTGAATATATTATTATTCATGTTTGTTACACCTTTACAGAGTCATGTAACCTAGCATGAAAAGAAAAAACATACACATTGGTGTTTTGCCTTCATGTTTGCCTGTGTGAGAGCATCATATCCCTGGAACTGGAGTTACAGTTGTGAGCTGCCATATGGGTATTGGGAATTGAACCCAGGTCCTCTGGAAGACTAGTCAGTGCTCCTAACCACTGAGCCATCTCTCTAGGCCTGAACATAAATATTGTTATAGAAAGACTTTTTTCTTTCAGAATTTAGTTCTTTTTTTCTAAGTTCTCTTTATTTTTCCCTTTGAGAAAAATATTTTCATACTTTCTGTGATGGCTATTCTTGGTTGTCAACTTGACTATATCTGGAATTAACTAAAACCCAATAATGGAGGGCACACCTATGAGGAATGTTTTGTTTAACTTGAAGTAAATCCACTTCTAGTCCAGATATTTGAGGTGGAAAGACACACACCTTTAATCCAGACCTTGAAGCAGGAAGACACACCTTTAATTTGGACTGCACGTTCTGCTGGAAGTCTATATAAGGACATAGGAGAAGGAAGCCTTTGCTCTTTCCCGGTTTGCCCTCACCTTGCTCTCAAGTTCATTCCTTTGCTAGCATTAGAGCCTACTTCTTCAGGATTCCAGTATACACTGAAGACCAGCTGAGACATCCAGCCTTGTGAACTGAGCAACTACTAGATTCTTGGACTGTCTGTTCACAGACAGCCATTTTTGGATTAGCTGGAATGCAGTTTGTAAATCATTCCAAAAAATCCCCTTTCTATATATAGAGATGTTCATTCTATAAGTTCAGTTACTCGAGAACCCTGATTAATATAATTTCTCACACATAATTTCTCTTGGTTTACTCTTAAATTGATATTTATAAATCATATACATTATAATACATAGTAGCTGGCTTAATGTCTTCATTACAAGCCCACCCCTTTGAGGGCATTTTCTATTAACTGTATCTGCTTGTTCTGTGTATGCTCATAGTTTTTTTTACTATTTCCATTTTTTAAATTAAAAAATAGGTCTTTTGGGATTGGGGAGATGAATCTGTAGGTAAAGTGCTTGCTACACAAGCATTAGGACTTGACTTTGAATCCCCAGCATTCCAGTAAGAAACTGGGCATGATGATGCTGGAAAGTGGGGACAGATTCATCCTGGGGGCTTTCTGGTCAGAGATCTAGACTCTTGATTCCACACATGCACACATGGGAACAATTACACCCCCACCCCCACATAGACAGCATAGGTATTTAAGCTGTGCTGCTGGGGATCAAATCCAGGGCTTTATGCCTGCTAGGAAAGCACTGTTCCACTGAACCCCAGTCCCAGGCCCCAAACCAGTATCTTGTATATGACAGCTCTCCAAGTTGGTTATTGTTATCCTATTTGATAGCTTAGTGATTTTCACGAGGTATTTCTGTGACGCCTGTACTCATGTGGATGTCCCTCTTTAAACTGTAAATATGTTTCATTACCAAACGTTACTAAAGAAGCTGATTTGGCCAAGAGCCAGGAGGGAAATTCAAGCAGGGATACAGGAGAAGGGTGGAGTCAGGGAGTCACCAGCAGCCACCAGGGAAGCAAGATGTGAGGTAACTAGGCACAAGCCTTGTGGTAAAACATGGACTAATAGAAATGGGTTGATTTACGTTGTAATAGCTAGTTAGTACGCAGATGTGGGACTTAGCTGGATGCACAAAAGCTTCTAGCTACATTGTACTCCTGTACTGTGAAGTCGCTGACTTCTCTGTTCATTAATGGGTCAGGATGAACACCCCATGAGAATGTTCTATGTGTATGTGTTATCAGCATGTACCCTCAGCTCTCTGGCAGTTTACAACTCTGCCTTAGCCCTAATTTCCTACTTAAATAGGGTCTTCCCATTGACACTCTGATTTCCAACCTGTCCAGCTTTGGAGCTGCACCACAATAATGCCTCCTCTGGGGCTACAAGGCTTCTGGTTTTTATAGCAACTAAGGGCAAGATTTGCTGGTTCAAGGCTACAGTGGAGCTGGTAGTATGTAGTGAGAGCAATTCAAAATGTTATCAGGCACGCAGTCCTGAGACTTGGAAGGCTTTCCTTAATATTCATTATAGTATTGCAAGCCTTCAATTTCTGGAGATCAGAAAGGCTGGCTTGACCTTTCATACAGTTTTCTCATTGTTCTTGAGGAGGGGACAGATTTACAGAGTTCTTCATTCTAACATTCCAGCAGCTTCAGACTCTTTGGGATAAATGAAAATGTCCGGGATGATGCTCTAAACTAATTTTGTGCCCATCGGAGTGGAGACAAGCATTATGGGAGAATTATTGGTAGACTTCATTGAGGTGTATGCTATATACAAATTTTAATCAGTTTAAGTATAGCTTGGTGGTTTAGTGTTTCTGTTTTTTTTATTTATTTTTCAGTTTAAATTTAGATAAGAAACAAGGTTGCTTCACAAGTCAGTTCCAGGTCCCTCTCCCTTTCCCTCCCCTACTCCCGTGCCCCCCCAGCCCCCCCATTATCCCCTCATTTCCCCAGGGAGGGTGAGGCCTCTATGGGGTTGTCCATAGTCTGTCATTTCATACAGGGCAGGGCCTAGACCCTCCCCCCAAGAGTTCAGGGTGAGAGTGCACCTCACATTGTTGGATGGGAGTCCAAAGTCCGTGTGTATACTCGGGTAGTGTTTCTGTTTTAACTAACAATTTTTCATGGAAAAAATGATAGTTTTGTATCTTTGTAGTAGGAAGATCTGAGCAACAATACCCATGACCTTAAATACCCTTTGTAGTGAAAACAATTAAATAAATCAGTTTTGAAATATACACTAATCTTGGCCTTGTATTGCTGACTGTACCCTTGTACGCGTAGAACAGTGTCGGAACATGATCCAGGAATGGAGTCCTGTGAGGATTCGGAGTGCTTGTGGAGAAACTCCAAAACAAGTGTGTTGTGACCTCAGTTTCTTTATAACATGGAATTGTTCTTGGACTATGTTTTCATGCCCCTCCCAGGTGTAGTGGATAGGAGTGAGTGTGCTTCAGATTAATTGTTACAACTGACTTTGTATGAGACTTCAGTCTGCTTCCTTCATCAGCTCCATTTTCCCAGGTCCCATGGCCTATAGAGCAGTGACAGACCAAAAGTCTCTCCTTTCCCTGTCCCTCTCAACCAGGTTCTCCTCTCCACTTCTGAGTTTGATATTTTTAGAATCTACACATAGGTGAGACTCTTAGTTTATATGCATTAGCTTATTTTAGAATAATGTTCCCCAGGTTGACTCAAATTGTCCTAAGTGAATTTTTTTTGGTAGCTGGATAATACTTCATTGTGAACACTGATTTTAGACCCATTTACATGTTGATCGGCTGTGGGAAAATTTATAGGTAAGAGAAATGATGGAAGTTGTGTGAGCTTAGTATGTTATTCTCCTAATCATGTTCAAGACTGAGGCAATTCACTAGCAGGATGGGCCCAGCTTAAGGACTGGAATTTTGATGATTCCAAATACCATCATCAGTGTGCACTGGTATCTCCAACAAGTACTTCTTGACTTCATTCCCATATAAATATTGTTTCTCAGAAGAACATTGCTCAGGCCTGCAATGCCAAGCTCTAAGTAATACATGCTACAAATCCACAGACACATGGAGTCTTTGGCAGAAATACTGAACAGGAGCTAAGAAATACATTTTATAGAAAAGTATAAGCACTTTGTAATGCAGATTCCATGAGTTTGAAATACTCATGGAATAATCATGAGGTCCAATTTCTTTTCTTAGCCCTTAGGTAATCAAAAGGAACTTTTATACATGATTTCACCTATGGTGAGTGAACTTTTATAACTAAAAAAGATGTGGAAAAGATAACTATCTCAGCACAGAAGTACAGTTCAGTAGACCACTTGTCACTTACATTGGGATTCTTGGAACTCACAGTTGGTCCAGGCATGTAGGGATATTAGGGTAAAAGTGATGAATATTTATTAAATACATAAGCTTGGCATCTATCTTATGTGTTTATGGGTTTTTCTTTGTGAAGTTTTGTCTTTGAAACAGGGTCTTGCTATATAGCCCAGACTAGACTTGAACTCTCAATAAGCCTGCTTTGGACTCCTTAATGTCACCATCACCACACTTTGCCCCACTTTGCAGGATGACTCACTATATATGGCCACCTTACATTTGAACTTGAACCCTCCTGTTTCAGCCTCTCCAAAATGGCTAGGATTCCAGGTGTATAGCACCAAATTTTCAGTAATAATTACCACAAAAGTTAGTTGTAAAAGTCTGTGAGATGGGCGTGCAAATACAGATAGCTTCCACCAAGTCTAATGACATAAGTTTGATCACTGGAACTCATGTGGTAGAAGGAAAATTGACTCCTGCAAATTGTACTCTGACCTGCACACATGCTCATGAATAAATGTCGGGCCTAAGAAAGGCTCAGGTGTGAGGCCCAGTGTAGGCTCCTGAGCCTGACTTGAGCTTAAGGCTCAGATGTGAGGCCCAGTGTAAGCTCCTGAGCCTGGCTAGAGTTTGGCGACCTGTCTCTAACCTGTAACCTCCACGTGGGAGTGACTCAGCCAGACCTGATGCAAGATCGCCCCTGCCTAGCTACCTGCCTGCTTGGTGGAATACTATTGGCCCTTACTCCTCACCTTACTCCATCCTATGACTCCCATCCCCTACCTCAGTCATATATAAGTTCCTGCATGTTGAAATAAATCCAGATCCTGCTTCGACAGACTCCCGACTCAGTGTGTGTTTTTTCTCCCCGGTATCTAATGGGGGGAAGCTGGACCCGCCCTTCCCCCGCTCTACCTGTCGGGGAGGACCCGACAAATAAACACATACACAATAGACAGATCTAAGAAAACTTCAAGTGTAAATTAATTCTTGAAAACCTCTATGAGATGCAACCCCCCATTTATATGATTTTCAAAAGGCTTTTTCCGTAAAAATAAAGACAAACACAGAATATATGCTATCACCACATTTATTCAAACTGACATCACATGGCTTCAGTTAATATACACTGAAAACACAGAATTCCAGAAATGCATAGGTTACAAAGAAACATCAGACAAGCTCAAACTCAAAGATACTCCACAAATAAACCAGTACCTTCAAAATGCCATGCTACCAAGTACAGACAGGCGAGAAACTGTTCCACACCAAGGAAACCAACAAAGTATTCATGAATTCCATAACTGTGGATCAAATCCAGGACCTACAAAGAACATTTTGAGATAATTTGCAAAATTTTAATAAGGTCTACAGAGTAGATAGATGAGATCAATGTTGACTTCCTGGTTTTGACTATCTAAATATGCAGGAGAACAACTTAGCCTAGAGGCTGCCAGATGGCTCTGTGGCACATCTGGATTAAAACCAGCAATTTGGTGGTTATCATTCTCAGGTCAGTCACCAGCAAGCAATCCATCATGAGAGGACTGAGAGCATGAGGTGATGTGCTGATACTGAAACTGAGAGCTGACTGAGCACAGGGAAAAGAAAGTCATGATGGGCATGAAAAGGAGAGTCAAAAGATCTAAAGGGCATTCAGCACTCAAGTGAGCCACAAAACATCCCAAAAGACAGCTATGCTGACCAGTCTCGGATCTGAGGGATAATCAGGTCCTAAGTAAGAGCCATGAAGGGAACAAAGCTAGCCTCATACCTGCCGGCTTTCTCATTTGTTGTTAGGAGACAAAGATTCTGGTGGTAGTGTCAGTAAACCTGAGAGCTGGGAGGTAAAACACGGCAGCAGAGCACCTGCCTCACACGCACAAGGCCGTGGATTCAACTCTCAGAGGCACAAACAAAAAATAAACACATCAATTTAAAACTGACTCTAAAAAGTAAAAAGTAATTTAAAAACCCAAATACTCAGCATGCTATAACACAGAAGACTCTCAAAAACAAACAAACAAAAAACCCTAATCATGATAAAGGAAACAAAAGCAAACAAACAAAAAAACTACATAAAGACTAACATAAAAAAGTACCATTTTTATCAACTAAGCATGGAAAACTAAGGAAAAAGAAAGTAGAAGAGAGATGAGATGGCCTATCACTGGGGGTTAACTACTCTATGCCTCAATCTTCTCACTTCACAGGAATCGTTATAGAATCCAACAAGGCTCCCAGATACAAAGATCAAGGGACATGATAGAGTTAAAGCCTGGGAAACTGAGCTGTTCTCAAGAAGGGCTCAAAACGTACATACACTGAATTTGGGAGTAATAAATCTGGTAAATAAATTTCTTTCTAGGTTTAAAAGTTATTAAAATAAATAAACAAACCTAGAAATAATGTAAAGACCCAGCAACAACTATTTCACCCTGAACCTAATGCTTATTCAAATCATTTTAAAAACAAAGCCCTTGGCTTAAAATACTTAGAACTTCACGCATATAAAGTATAAGAAAAAAGGGGAAAGTTTTAAATTATAATTTTCCCCCTTAATATCTGAATTCATTTGAATAAGAGATGAGGAAATGCTAAATCTCCTTACCTTCCATTTCCTCAAGTTGGCATTTTGGAGTATAATTCTGTAATTCCATGATTCTAAACATAAAAGTTCTTTACTAAAAAGTAATTTCTCATTGTAAAGAGCAAGACAATTCTCATTTTAACAACAAATTCTTTACACGAGGGTGGAAAACACCTACTTTGCTATTCCCTCACGTATCTTCCATGCCATCCTGTCGCCGCTATCCTATGCCTAGAAGACAGGGAGGTGGATGGGAGGTTTGGGAGTCTCCTTTCCCAAAAGGGGTCAAACGGTAGTATGGATCCTGTTCCTGAACTCAATCCTTTCAGTACAGGCGCACAAGTAAAACATAGCTGCCCCATCACTCCGCCAGGCAATTTAGTGGTTGTTTAATCTTTTCAAATAACTACTGATTTGAGTACAACCTGTGCATCTTTGGTTAAACTATTTTCTCGCCAGCATCAACATTTGCACTCTCTTATTTATCATCTCTCAGGCCTTTTACAGAGTCACTTCAGACTTGGTTACTCTCTGATTCTTTTTAAATATTTCCAGGAAAAGGTTCTAACATGAGGAGAGAGTACACACAAATTTCAATACTTAATAAATTTATCTTGATAACATCAAAACAAGTTTACACTTTAAATTGCATTATAAAAAATACATCGGTCTTCACATTAGTTTTACATGGAAATATATAATTATTTGAATATTTAAATATAGCTTTTCTTTAAGCAAAAAAAAATGTGTTACTTAGAGCCCTAGTTACATAAATAATTTAAAAGCACAAATGCAAAAAACACTCTTTCCACAATACTGTCCACACACTGTATACACCAGGACAGTTACAATGAAATCTATTTAAGATACTAAAGTGGACAAGATTAACAAAATGTTCATTATGGTTGCAATTTGATGTACTACTACTAAAAGAAGATAACTCACTCTTGACTACACAAAATAAGCAGTTGTTTCAACCTAGCCTGAAAATTAAGCCATTTATGTAGACAAAGGGGCACTTCCTGTATCCTATCAAATTCTGAAAAACTCACTTACAATTTAACTCACATTTTGTAATTTCAAGTTTCCAAGCTTGCCCAAAATAGTATTCCTCAGAAGAACTTAGTAAACATTTGCAAATTTCTAAACAAAACCATCATTTCTGTGGTAGACAATTTATATCTGGGTGATATCAATTTTACCTAGGAATCTTTTCCTTAAAACGGTACTTAGAAGAGTTTCCAATTTGAAAGAAAACAGTAACATTTTTTAACTTTAAGGTTTGATCATTTGAATTGTAAGAATGACCCTCATTGTAGAACATATCACATAAGACATAATTTGGCTAATCCCATGGTAGGTTACTTGGGTCTGAACTTTCATTTTAACTGACATTGCAGGCATGCTTGTTAGTGGGTGTCTGGGAACTACAAAAGATCAATACCTGCGAACAGAGTGCTTTTATGGGTTACTCCATAATCAGTCAAACAGAGTTTTCTTCCTTAATTAAAACTTGAAGATTTAAAAAAAAAAGGTGACTCATTGAGATTTTTTAAAGGGAATTAAGAGTGTTTGTATATAAGAAGGCAAGGTTGAAGAAATTAAACATATCACTTGCCAACTAAAAAAAATCACATTTGTCCACTCTGCAATATAATTACCATTTATATTTAGAAGTAAAGAAATGACAATAGCATCACCATTAACAACTCACAGGTTAAATAATGGCCCCTGAAACAAAACCACATTGATATTTCATTAATTCTAAGGTAACACAGTTTTATCTCTGAAATCAAGACACAGCTTAACACTGACTCTAGTTCAATAAAATATAGTAGTTACACAATAAAGGGAAACTTTGTGTTTCCTTGTAACATCAATGACAGAAAAAGATTGAGGTCTTGACTGAACAAGACAATAGGATGCATTTGCACCAGCTCAGTCAATGTCCCTTAAAGGAATATACTCAAGTACCAGAGGCTCACACTGTGTATCCAAGCATCTTTTATCTTAACTGTCAAAATCAGTTAGGTAGTTTAAGATACAAATGTCAAAGTAGTTTAGCCTTGAACTATCTAACTAGTTTAAGATAATTAGATAGTTTAAGATAAAACTGATTGGTGTATATATCGTTTTTCACTTGTAAAGTGGGTCTCTAGTTAAGTTACTAGTTTAACTTAAGTTTTCTGAAATGTTTAAGTATTTCCCTAATGACAATTAATGGCCAGCCCACACACTATTATCAAACCAATAACTTCAGTTCAATATCTTAAGATGTCTAAAATATTAATAAATGATCTTAGATTGCTAATAAAGGGACAAAAGGTAGTTAAAAGCCTAACCACATTTGCAAAATCTTTTTCCATGTAAGATTAATAATGCTAACAAACAGATTTGTGGTGTATGTGTCCAAATAAGGGAAGCTACAGACTTACAGATCCAATTTAAACGAAGGAGGAAGAATTTCTGTTGTCTATAAAAATCAGGCACTTTAAATAAAAAAAACTGGATTAATTAATTATTTCATGGAATGCCTTTAAAAGAAAAAGAAATTATATTTTTGTGGTCATTCAAGTTAATCATATTTGAAAATCGAGATAGCACAGTGTTGCTCTTTTTATTTATCCCATTAGAATAGTTATTAATGTTTCAACTTGTAAGCATGGTAACTAAGTAAATAGATATTCTTCCAATTATTTAAAAGATGACACTAGTAAGTTTGCTGTGTTCATTCTCCCAGTGTTATAACTTTTTGGCACAAAAGATTTTCAGAGGAAATCAGTATGGACATGATTTAAAGGACAAAATTCTATATACTATGCTAAATTATAAGACAAATTAAGATGAAGCTCTTCTACAGAAACGGGACAAAGGTTGCTTTTAAACCTTAAAAAAAAAAAGGACCCTAAACACTAAATTTTAAATGAATATAAAATCTTTGAAAAATAATATCTGTAGCAAAATAGTGTCAGATCAGGTTCCCTACCAAAGCTGGGAAAGTCTGTGTGCTCAGGTCCATGTGTGTTCCAGCCAGGGGTTGATGTCGCTGGCAGCTGTGGCCCGCGCTTTTACTTTGCCTCATTATTTCGGGATTTGCTTGCAAGCCGGGTCACCATCCTGTCGGTATTTGCTGAGGAACTCGAGCTTCTCAGGTCATATTCTCTCACAGGAAGAAGTTTCTTCTTTCTTCGGTAGCGCCTTTTCCGGTAGTGCCTTCTTCCTGCAGCTTTGGGAAGATTAGTAGTAGTAGCAGCAGCAGCAGCAGCAGCAGCAGCAGCAGCAGCAGCAGCAGCAGCAGCAGCAGCAGCAGCAGCCGCCGCCGTCATAGTCGTAGTCGTGGTAGTAGTAGGCAGCTCTGCAGGCCCCGCAGGGGCACTTGACTGCTCTTCAGGAACAGGTGGGCCAAGGGCGAGGCTCAACCGTGCTGCTGCAGCTGCTCTCTTGACCTCCTTTATCTTCCTGGCGACCATCTTCTTCTTCCTCAGTTGCCTTCGAATAAGAACAGTCTTTGACTGATGCTTCCTGCGCACACCAGGGCATGTAGAAACATACTTCCTGATGGTATCGGTTGCTTTCAGCTTAACCCAAATAGCCAGTTTTTCTGAAGCTAGTCTTGATTTCTTCCGGAGAACCACTGTTTTGAAAGCGTTTTTGAGTAAGTTTGATTGATGTGCAGCTGCCATCTTCTTTTTCCAAAATTTCTTGGGACTCTTATTTTCAACAGCCTCCTTTTGAACTGGTTTGGGAAGAGTATTGGCACTGTCAGGAGTTGAAAGAGTCTGCTGGAGATTGTCCTTTGGAATTGCAGTAGCACCCACACCTGAATTTTCTGGACATGAAGACTGAATGATCCCGAGGTATCTTAACACACATCTTTTCTTCGGCATTGCCATCCTAGATGCTGAAACCAAGGTTGATCTGTTGACAACATTCTGTCCTGCACTGGACCTTGTATCATTCCTACTAAGATCACTGCCAACAACCTCCTGTCTGTCACCCTCTGGTACCGTTGGATTCTGTGGAGGGTTAATTACAGTTTTCTTACGTGGTGTGCTAGGAGTGCTGTGCTCTTCACAGCTGTGTATGTTTTGTAAATCCTTGTCACTGCCAGGCTTTGCTTTAGGTGGATTCAAAGGCTGATCTTCCTTCACACTTAGAGAAGAAAAAATATAGACTAAGGAGTCGGACTGGGAAGGCTCCGAAACATTAGTTTGTGGCGCAGGTAACTCGGTTTGCTCTTTTCTTTTCTTCTGGCTATCCTGATGGAAGTGCTTCCTTTGCGGTAAATCTTCTTCTTGTTCTGACATTTTTCTTTTCTTCCCAGAACTTGCTTGAGTTTCACAGCTGACTCCTTCTACCTGGTTCTCAGAAGTCACCTGCTCCTGTGGCTGCTGAAGCCCCTCTGCTAGGGAACAAGATGGTGCACCTAAGGCCACTGAGAAGTTGCCAGTGTCTCCAACTCTGCCTTCAATATATTCAAGATGTGGCAGAGTGTAAACTGATGCAGCGTTCTGATAAAAGTTAAACAAGGTGGCCTGTTCTTCTTCACTCAAAATAATTCTATTGGCTTCAGAGCAATCATCATAATAACTGTAGAAATGACCTTGAATTTCCTGTGTGTTTGTTGTCACTGCATCTTCCTGTGTGTTTGTCGTCACTGCATCTTCCTGTGTGTTTGTTGTCACTGCATCTTCCTGTGTGTTTGTCGTCACTGCATCTTCCTGTGTGTTTGTTGTCACTGCATCTTCCTGTGTGTTTGTTGTCACTGCATCTTCCTGTGTGTTTGTTGTCACTGCATCTTCCTGTGTGTTTGTTGTCACTGCATCTTCCTGTGTGTTTGTTGTCACTGCATCTTCCTGTATGTTTGTTCTCACTGCATCTTCGCTCACCTGAGACTGAGTTTCTCCAACAGATGTAGGAGGGACCTGAGGTGAGGCTTCAAGGACTGGTTCGTTAGGATCACCTTCTGGAAACTCTTCGGCTCCTTCTGTGTACATCGGGTTTGGTGGATATTCATACTTAGTTACTCTCATGTCAAAAGTCACCTTCTTACGCTGGCATGTTTTCTTAGCAGGCTGAGGTTCGTCAGAGTCATACTGAAGATAGGCATCATATAGAGAACTCTCGTTTTCTAGAACGTCCCCATCTCCTAACTTCAAAGGGATGTCCGTCACACATGTCTGGCGGATCACTGACACAGCATAGCCAGGACGGTCTGCTGCAAAACTACTAGGTTCCCAGCTCCTGGGGTGAAAGGCAACACTTCTTGGAGCGTTCCAACGATTGATGTCGACAGCTCTCTGTAGTTGGTTCGTCACTGGCTGACCAGTATCTCTCGAACTGAAACTTCTTTTAAGACTCTGAGAGTCACGGTTCTTACGTTCCAAGACAACGCGATTACGATCAGGCCGTTGACTGGTAGTGTGCTTATGAGAGGGCCTATGAGAGGACCTATGAGAGGGCCTATGAGAGGGCCTATGAGAGGGCTTATCGGAGGGCTTATCGGAAGGCTTATCAGAGGGCTTATCGGAGGGCTTATCAGAAGGCTTATCAGAGGCATCAACACTGAAATTGAGTTCATGACCACACGATGGGCAGATGGAATCTCCCAGAATAATATAGTCGTTCTTCCGGTTGATTATTTTGAAACTTTCCTTGGACTGATTTGTCACTGACTGAGAGGCTTCACAATGACAACCACAGAATTTACAGCAGTACTTCTCTATCGCTGCAGAACCAACAGAATCTGTGTTTGTATCATTGGTTTCTTTGACAGTCAGTTGAGACGACTCGGGTTCTAGCTGAAGAGGGATATTTGAGTCAGAAATTACTTCCCGGTCACAATCACTATCACTGGACACAACATTCACAAACACCACCTGTGGTGAATCTGTTTCTCCATCTGATGTTTGAAGCTGGTTAACTACTATCTGAAAAGAGACGTCGGAATCATACAGCACTTCAGGCTCACAAGACTCGCTGCATTTTTCTTCTATGAAGTCTTTCTTCTCGGGGTCTGCTTCGCTGTAAGCCCCTTGAGGTGTGTCAACTTCTGACTGCAGATGGACACCAGAATTGCATGTTACTTCAGAACAACATGGCTGAAAGGTCTCATTTCCTAGGTCATTCTGATTCTCTTTTTGCACATTAACTTCTTTGATGGACACATCCTCCACAGATGGATCAGTCACAAACTGAACAGGATCATCAGGATAGTAAGTTGGTTCAAAATCAACTAGCTTGTAGCTCTTATCTTCCAGGTAAATATGGTCTTCCTTCAGATTCATTTCCTTGACAGTGTTTTGAAGATGGCCTGCTACTGACTGACAAGGTTCACTTGAATCCAAACTCGTTTCAGGACTGTCACGGGAATCAACAATCACTTCAGGACCACAAGGATTACTGCTCTTTACGTTCAAACTGGTACACCCTTTTTGAAAACGTTGTGGTTTCTGAATCACTGAGCAAAAAATGACATTCGAAACAGGCACTATTGTAGAGCCACTGGGCTCACAGTCACTATCGTGTGGACTTACATGTCCTCTCCGTAAATGTATTTCTTGAACAGGCTCTTGGGTTGTATTAGTCACAGACTGAAGTGGTTCATCAGAATGAAGGATTGTGTTTGAGTCACTAGATTCAACAACCTGATCTTCCAAATCACCATGATCTTTCCAACGGCTCATCTCCTGAACTACTTCAGCTTCAGTCTGGCCAGCCAATGGCTGAGGAACACTGGAAACACTTGTAATTCCAAAACCCTGCGCTTCATCCCTCTGCCCTTCCACGTCCTCTTTATCCTTCTCACTTCCATTTTCATCACTTTCACTATGCTGAGCAGCCTCTGATTGGACACAGTCATTAGAATCATAGCTTACCTCAGGATCACAAGACTCATTACTCCTACCTTCAAGTTCAATGTGTTCAGGCTCCGAAACAGTGGTTTCAGGTAGTGGTTCAACTACTGACTGGACCGAGAAATCAGAATCCAAATTTGTTTCAGAACTGGTCTCCTGGCTGTTATCTTCCAAGGGCATTTGATCATGACTATCAAGATTTATTTGTTTAAGAGCTAGTTCAAGTTGATCCATTGCAGAACGAAAAGAAACATTAGAATCATGTATTAGTTTTGAATAGATAAGTTCACTGATCTTCTTTTCAAGAACCTTTGCCTCTTGTTTCCACTCGTTCATTTTTGTGATTACGTCGTCCTCTTTAGGCGGTGAGTGAGAGTGGCCAGTAGAATCAGCATCTGCTGTAGAATCAGTGGGCTTGTCGTTTGTGTCTTTCGGTTCCATGTGGTTTTCCTTCACAGCTAGTTGAGGTGGACTAGTGACTGACTCAAGACAACCAGCAGTATTCAGGGTTACTTCAGTTCCTCTACGCTCAGTGCTGTTATCTTTTGGGTGAGCGTGGCCCTCTTTCAAAGCAGCCGGTTGAGGTTTTTCAGTCATTAACTGAGGAAACACATCAGAATTGAAAGTTGGCTGAGAGCCATCATATTCATCATCACTCTTGACTTCCTCAAGATGCTTTGTCTTTCTCTTTGCCTTTTTACCTACATAAGGTTCTGTCACTGGATGAGAAGCAGTAGAAGCAGCTGAACTGATTTCAGAATGAGACTCTGTACTTTTAGTTGGCAATTGAGCATGCTTTTCTTTTTGAGGGCACATATTTCTGACAATTACTTCACATTTGCGAATCACTGACTGAAAGGGGGTATGCGAATCCAGTCTTGTTTGAGAAACACGGGCTACAATGGGATCTTCAGAACGTCCAGGCTTTGAGTTACGAGTGTCACAATTCAAACTTAGTTCAGAATCAGTAGGTCCATTTTCCTTTTGTTCTATGTGTACCTGCTCTTCTTTAGGGGAATTTATCTTTTTAACAGCTACTTGAGAATTAGTCACTGAATGAAGAGGGGCATTAGAATCCAAACATATTTCAGAACCACTGGGATTGTCATTCTTCCCTTCTAATTGAACGTTTTCTTCTTCCTGAATGATTACTTCTTTAACAGCTACTTCAGGGTGATCATTTCCTGAATGAAGAGGAATATCAGAATCATATGTTATTTCAGAAACACAAGATGCACTACTCTTATTTTCCAGATCAACAGGTTCCTCCTCATAAACAGCTACTTGAGGTTGGTCAGCTACTGAGTCATTGGGAATATCAGAATCAAAAGTTATGTCAGAACTACTTGACACACAGCATTCATCTTCCAGGTTAAAGTCATCTTCGTTTATTCCTTCAAAATCCAGCAGAGACCGCTCAGTAACTGACAGAAGAGGGGAATCGGAACCAAATGTCAACTCAGAACTGGAGCACGCACTGCTCTTAACTTCCATGTCAACATTTAACTCATCAAGATTTAGTTCACCCCAAGCCCCTTGAGGTTGATCATTAGCTGACTGATAAGCAGGGGAATCAAAACTTAGGTTAGACATGCCAGAGTGAACACTCTGATTCTCTAAGTCAAGATCTACTTCCTCAGGGTTTACTGGAGATTGATCAGCCTCTAATCGAGCATCAGCATGAAAACCCACTTCAGGACCATGAGACTCACAGTTCATATCCCCACGGCTGGTATTCTTCTGGTTCGGAACATTTATTTCTTCTGCTTCTCTCTGGGGTTCATCAGCCACTGTCTCAACAAAACCATCACGTTCAGGGTGTGCTTCAGCACTACTGGGTTGGTGGTCATCTTCTTGTTGGACAGCTCTGTCTCTCAGGCTTCTTTCTTGAACAGGCATTTGGGGAGCCGCATCACTGTCAGAACTGAAACTGCTTGACCCGTAGTTCTCATCAACCAGGTGGGCATTGGCATTCTTTGGAGGCTGCTGCTGTCCCGCTGCTGCTGGAGTCTCATCAGCTGAGGACCCAGAATCCTCACATGGTTCAGAGCTGCCACTTCCATAGCTGTCAACCAAGCGGACGGCCATCTGTCTAGGAAGGTTTGCTGCTTTCACGGGCTGTGGGGGACGGCGACTAGTTGACGGACGTGAGTCATCGCCATCAAAATTCACTTCAGAGCCACTAGACTCATAGCTTTCATCAACCAGACTAATGAACTGTATGTTCTGTGTAATCACTGGAGAACGGTTGGTAGGCACCTGATTAGAACTGCTGCCATTATCGGAAGTTGCTCCAGAAACAGTAGGTATTTCATTCCTAGGCTGTACATCATCAGTTTCTTCTGATACACTTATTTCTCTGGTGGTCAGTTCAGATAGGGCACTCAGCGACTGACGAGAGGACCCACAATCGAAACTCATGTCAGAACCTCTAGACTCATAGCTCTCATCTTCTTGGTCAACTCCCTCCACCTCTTCCTCCTCTCCCTCCTCCAAATGACTTAAGTCATGTACTGCAGCTTGGGAATGAGCAGGTACTGGCTCAGAATTCACTGAGCGCTTCTGTTTCAGAAGTATTGACTTGTTAAGAACCAAGCGTGTTTCTTCTTGGGGACGAACCACATTTGAACGAGATGCCTCACGACGCTTTGGAATGGCACCTTCACGGGCTGCATCTGGTGGTGTGTCATTCTCCCTGGGGTTTCCTGATGTGCCTGCCCCTGACTCAGAAGACTCAACTCTCAGAGAACAAATCTCAGCACTTGTTAGCTCCCGCACTCGCACAACAGGGGAAAAAGACGCACCCTTAGCTCTGAGATCTCTCTGTGCAAGCAATTTGTCTAAATTTATATTTAATGGTTTCTTTTTTGGATCTTTAGGTTTGGGTTGAGATGGTGGATTGCTAGAGCCCTGATCTGGGGGGTCAAAGTATGGTTCAAGATTCTCTGTGTCACAAGCTGGAAAGGAATCTGAAGCAACTGCCAGTACTAACCGAGGAACACTGTTAGCCGCAACTGGTCTCTCGAAAGAGCCTCTAGGCAAAGAGCTGGCAGGAGCATTACAAATCACTGGGGGACGCACTAACTTTTTTCCACTAGTTGTAGCCTGAACAACACCGACTGAATTAACTCTTTTCACACCACTCTCAACTCTCTGAGCCAACTCCAAGGACTGCTGCTGTCCCCGCTCTAGCCTTTGAATAACTGATGGTCGAACTGCAACCTCTGCACATTCCTGGGAAGTACCAGGCCTACAATCTATCTCTTCTACAGACTGCGAATCATCGGAGTATCTCTCTCCACTGCTCTCTGCAGTGTCATCCTCATTGTCATCTGAGTCATCCAAAATAACCACTTCAGGGGACCCAGGATCTTCTGCTTCTGCTGCTCCTGCCGCTCCTGCCGCTCCTGCCGCTCCTGCTGCTCCTGCTGCTCCTTCCGCTCCTGCTGCTTCTGCTGCTCCTGCCGCTTCTGCTGCTCCTGCTGCTCCTTCTGCTCCTTCCGCTCCTGCTGCTCCTCCCGCTCCTGCTGCTCCTCCTGCTTCTGCTCCTTCTGCTTCTGCTCCTTCTGCTTCTGCCGCATCTGCTGCTCCTTCTGCTGCCTCATTTGGTGCAGCTCTAAAAAGAATAAGGGGAAAAACATTAAAATACCCTAGGTTTTGCTTAGAATTCATGGTATTATTTTCTATTACGGACCATTCTTAGTGGGAAAAGAACACAAGTTATCACACCAGATTGTACACTCCATGTACTTCAGGAAGTTACCTGGTATAGAAGATACATCAAGTCCACCAACTGCTATTTCATAAACAATGGTTCCCGAACATATAAAAATATAAATGAATCCCTGTATCAATTTTTCAGTTATCACAACAAACATCACAAAGTTTGATGCAGAGGCTCAGGATATCACTCAACTGGTAAAGCACTTGCCAAGTACGTGCAAGGCCCTGGGTTTGAGCCCCAGAAACCTCAATTTTTAAGAGCTATGTCAAAAAATACAAATTATACAATTAATAATCTCTATAGAAGCACGTGTAAGAAGCTACCCCTATCTGTTACCTTCAGGAAAGTGAACAGAAAATCTGGGGCGTCTACAGAAGTATAGGTAATATATTTGTCTCCTTTTCTTTAACGTGGTGATCTGGCTATGCTGCCCAGGCTTACCCTTCTCTAGGATGAGCAATGCTAGCACATCAGCTTCCCAAGTAGCTAGAATTATAGGCACAATATCATCACATCTGACTTATGAATCACTTTTGAATGTTTTGAATGAATGCCTATGTATACTATGTTTTCCATTCAAAAGTTTAGTTTTGTTTTTGTTTTTGTTTTTTTGAGACAGGGTTTCTCTGTGTAAGTTTCTGATTGTCCTTGAATTCACTATGTAAACCAGGCTTACCTCAAAATCACAGAGATCTTCCTGCCTCTACCTCCGGAGTGCTGGGATTAAAGGTGTACCCCACCATAGCTGGCTGGTTAAATAACTTTTCTAAAGATCTGAAATTTCATATCTAAAAATCTGTCAGTAATCTCTTCTACTATGATCAGCACAACATGCTTGATCCAAAACATTTTTGGGCTCCTTCTTCCATATATATATAAACAGATGTTCTAAAGATAGTGTCACAGTCTTAATTCAGCCATAGCAATCACCTACTAAAGGTTCTCTACTCAGCAGTACTCTCAATGGTAGATATTGAACAAAATCAAAGATAATCTGGCTCTCAAGAAGCATTCAGTTAGCAGCAACATCCAGTGCAAAATGTCAGTAACAACTTCACAACCAAGAGAAGCCTAAGGTAGTATAAACTAATTTAAAGTGGATATACTAGTCGGGCATTGGTGGCGCATGCCTTTAATCCCAGCACTTGGGAGGCAGAGGCAGGTGGATCTCTGTGACTTTGAGGCCAGCCTGGTCTACTGAGTGAGTTCCAGGACATTCTCCAAAACAATAGAGAGAAACCCTGTCTCGGAAAAAAAAAAAAAGATGTAGATATCCTAAAGCAGAAAGAAGTCAAATTTGGAAATCTTAGTTTGAAAATGCAATTTAAAAATTACTAAAAAGACTGGGTAGTGGTGGCACATTCCTTTAATCCCAGTGCTCAGGAGGCAGAGGCAGGCAGATTTCTGTGAATTAGAGGCCAGCCTGGTCTACAGAGTGTGTTCCAGGACAGCCAAGCACAGAAACCCTGTCTCAGGAAAATAAATTAATAAAGAAACTTGAACAAGTTACAGACTTTAATGTCTTATCAGTCCATTAGTTATAACAAATATGCCAGACTAACGTGGAAGCATCAATATTAGGTCAATTCAGTGAAGTCATATTATCAAGGTCCTCTTTGGGGGGGGGCGGAAACAGGGTCTTACTATGTAGCCCTGCTGTGATTGAACTCACTCTGTAGGCCATCTGGTCTCCAACTCACAGAGATATCACACTCCCTGAGTACTGGGATTAAAGGCATGTACCACTATGCCTGACTTTGTAAAAACCCTATTTATTAGCACTTTAATTTTTCTGCTAAGATTTTCTTTAGAAGGTTACAGCCTAAGGTTGGAGGAGATGGTTGGAATGGCAGAGCACCTGCTGTATGAGGACTTGAGTTTGGATCCCCAGCACCTTCCTGAGAGCCAGAAACAGGCAAGGCAGTGCCCATCTATAACACCAGCACAGCGCCCAGGGGCTCACTGGCCAGCCAATCTAATCAAAACAGGTAGCTACAGGCTGAGTGAGAGACCATCTCAACAGGTAAGGTGGTGAACCACAAACAGCCTCTAGCACACACATATGATTCTATAGTAGAACACTAGCAAAATGGCAGACACCCGTAATCTCAGAACCCAAGAGACTGTGGACGAGGATATCAAGGATATGTCTGAGGCACTGGAAAACATACAACAGGTGCTCGCTTCAGCAGCACCTGGTAATTTTAAGGTATGTAATGAAATAATGTGTTAAAATAAAAAGTGATAAATCCCTAGCACTGTAGTAAACAAATGAATGTCTATAAAAATTAGAAAATACAGCTGGGTGTTGTGGCGCATGCTTTCAATAACAATACCTGGAGGCAGTGGCAGGTGGAACTCTGTGGGTTTGAGGCTAGGTTTGTCTACATAGTGAGCTCTGGCCAGTCAGGTCTACATGGTGAGAGCCTGTCTCAAAAAAATTAAAAACTGAGTTCGAGGCCGGGCTGGACCGATAGCCTCCGAAACAATACAGAGAAACCCTGTCTCGTAAAAAAAAAAAAAAAAAAAAAAAAAATTAAAAACTAAGTTTTTTGTTGTTTTTTTTGTTTTGGGTTTTTGGTTTTGGTTGGTTTTTTGTTTTTTTGTTTTTGGGATTTTTGTTGTTGTTGTTGTTGTTTTGTTTTTCGAGACAGGGTTTCTCTGTATTGTTTTGGAGGCTGTCCTGGAACTCACTCTGTAGACTAGGCTGGCCTCGAACTCTCAGAGATCCACCTGCCTCTGCTTCCCGAATGCTGGGATTAAAGGCGTGCACCACCAACGCCCGGCCCTAAGTTTTTTTTTTTTTAACTTGAAAACTGCCACAGTTGTCTAAAAGCATGTGTGCATGTGTCAACTGCTTTTACTTTTTTTCTAAAGACTTATTTTGTGGGCAGGTTTTGCCTACATGTGTATTGGCCTGGATATTGCACCACAAGCATGTCTGGTATCTGTAGAGGCCAGAAGAGGTAGTAGAACCTTAGTACTAAAGTTACAGGAGGTTGTGAGCTACCCAAAGTGGGTGCTAGGAACCAAACATGAGTCTTCTGGAAGCACAGCAAATGTCTTTAGGCACAAAGTCCCCAAGCTGCTCTTTTATTAACCTATCAGAAGTAGTAGTGCTTTCATTCCATAAGTCACTGTGATGGTTTCAATAGGTAATGTCACAATAGACTCGTGTTTTAAATGCTCGGCCAATAGGGAGTGGCACTATTAGGAGGTGTGGCCTTGTTGGAGGCAGTGTGGCACTGTGGGTATGAACCTTGAAGTTTCAGATGTCCAAGCTATGCCCAGTGGAACAGATTCCTTCTGCTGTCTATGGATGAAGACATAGAACTCTTAGCTCCTTCACCACCACATCTACCGGCATGCTATTGTGTCCTGCCATGACGATAACGGATTCAATCTCTGAAACTACTCTTAACCAGCCCCAATTAAATGCTTCCCTTTATAAAGGTTGCCAATGTCATGGTAAGTAGACGCAGCTTTTCCACAGAAGAACATCCCACATCAATGGTGTCTCTTCACAGCAATAGAAATCCAAACTAAAATACTCATCCTTTTAAAAAAAAAAGGTTTTTGGATTTATTTTATGTGTATGAGTGTTATGCACCAGGTGTGTGCCTTATTATGCCTGTTGAGGTCAGGAGAGGTGTTGGATTCCCTGGAACTGACTGAAGTAAAAAAATGGTTTTAAGCCATCATGTGAGTGCTGGGAGCTGAATGTGGGTCCTCTGCAAGAGCAGTATCTTATCCTAATTGATGAGCCATCACTCCATCCCCTTGATAATTCACTTTACTTAATACTAGTTTGGAATGTGGGTAATAAAAAAACTGTCATCAAAATAGCATTATACTATGGATTAAAAACATAATTTTGACTTCTATTCAATGAAATGATAATGGAAGAACCACTTTCACCTCTTTTTCAAAACTAGATTACCTTCATTTGGTTTGTTTTTTGAGATAAGGTTTTTCTGTGTAGCCCTGGCTGTCCTGGAACTCACTCTGTAGACCAGGCTGGCTTCAAACTCAGAGACCTGCATGCCTCTGCCTCCTGAGTGACAGGATTGAAGGTGTGCATCACCACACCTTCATTTGCTTTAAAGTCTATCACAACATACTCATAACTAGTTCCTTAACAAGACAATACAGAAAATGGAAAGAACCAAAATTAAAGGAGAAAAGAATAATATGACAATACCACCTAGATGCTTCTATTTGCATCTGTGTTTGTATCTGTATTTAATAGTAACAAATTATAATTCAATTTCTAGTCGTTTGTCACATAGCCTACAATCCACACTGCCAGAGAATCTAGGAAACAAGGAGGACCCTAAGAGAGACATACAAGCTCCCCTGGAGAAGGGGGCAAGATCTTCAGAGCAAATTGGGAGCATGGGGAGGGGGAAGGGGAGTAGGAGCTAGGAGAGAGAGAAGGGGAGAAGAAGAGGGGAGAGGAGGATATGAGGGAGCAGGAAGGTTGAGTAAGGGGAAGAACAGAGGAGAACACGTAAAGGGACACCATAATAGAGGGAGTCATTATAGGTTTAAAGAGAAATCTGGCACTAGGGAAATATCCAGAGATCTACAAGGATGACCCCAACTAACAATCCAAGCAATAGTGGAGAGCTACCTTAAATGCCCTTCCCTGATAACAAGATTGATGACTACCTTATATGCCATTCTAGAGCCTTTATTCAGTAGCTGATGGAAGCAGAAGCAGACACCCACAGCTATACACTGAACTGAACTCCTGGAATCCAGTTGCAGAGAGAGAGCAGTGATGAGCAAAGGGATCAATACCAAGCTGGTGAAACTCACAGAAACAGCTGACCTGAACAAGGGGGAGCACATGGACCTCAGACTGATAGCTGGGAAACCAGCATAGGACTGATCCAGACCCCCTCAACATGGGTGTCAGTGAGGAGGCCTAGGCAATCTATGGGGCCTCTGGTAATAGATCAATATTTACTCCCAGCATATGAATGGATTTTGGGAGCCCATTCCACATAGAGGGATATGCTCTCAGCCTAGACACAAGGGGGAGGGTGTAGGCCCTGTGCCAAAGGATATGACAGATTTTTAAGATCCCACATGGAAGGTCTCATCCTCCCTGGGGAGCAGAAAGGGGATGGGATAGGGAGTCGCTGGGGGGCAGGGGAGGAGGGGAAGGAGAGGGAACTGGGATTGACATGTAAAACAAGCTTGATTCTAACTTAAATAAAAAAAAAGAAATTTAAAACAACAACAAACCTCTTGAGCTAAAGGGAAACTCTAAGGACCAGTGAGATGCTCAGTGGATAAGTGACAGGTACTGCTTTAATCAAGCACCTCAGTAAGTTACCATCATCCATGTTTGGAGAATGGACTATCAGGAGTGGGAACACAAAGGGCAGTAAGGGTGCATACAAGCAAAGTGCAATGGCACATAACAAAATGTCATAATGAAGGCCATTATTTTGTAGCCTAACTAAATGAGCTTAGTAATTATTTTTAAAATATCATCATCAATTAAATATGCCAACATCATATCCCGAAAGGATACAACCTCAGCTCTGAGGAATTAGTGCCCAAAATGTATATTCCTAGTTTAGTCATGGGGAAACATCAGACAAGCCCAAGTTGGGGTGCTGTCCATAAAATAAATGTCCAGTGCTCTTAAAAAGTGTCTTTGTAAGTAACTAAGTAATGAGGAAGGGATAAAGCTGAAGGGAGACTGAGGAGACAGGACATTCAATGCAGTGTGTGAGTATGGGTGGTCCCAAGCACAGGGAAACATCATGGCAAAGGGTACATCTACAGACAACCTAGTAGCATCCATAAAAATGAATCCTAGTTTAGAGAATTGCAGTATGCTGACTTTAGACTGCCTAGATGGGGCTCAAGTTTCTTCTATCAGTTTTATTATGTTTTTGGTAAGGCTGGTATATTATCCCATAATGAAAAAGTTAAAAATAAGACCTTATTAACAGTGGTTTCAACCTTCCTAATGCTGTGACTCTCTGATGTAGTTCCTCATGTTATGGTGACCTCCAACCATTATTTTTGTTGCTACCTTCATAACTGTAATTTTTCTACTGTTATTAATCCTTGCTTTGTTTTAATTTATTTATTTATTAGGAATGAATACTGTTGCATATACATCTGCATGCAAGAAAAAAGCATCAGATCCCATTACAGATGTAAGCCACCATGTGATTGCTGTGAATGGAACTCAGGACCTCTGGAAGAGCAGCCAGGGCATATTAGCCATCTCACCAGCCCCTATTTCTATCTATGATTCTTAATGGAAATATCTGTTAGTTTTAGGTGACCCTTGGGAAAGGGTTCTTTGACCCCCAAAGAGGTAATGACCTATATGTTGAGAACTGCTGCTGCTTTATAATGATCTATATATTAAACTACAGAAAGTTGGTTTGATGATTTGAATGGTAATGACCTCCATAAACTCATATGTTTGAATACTTGGTCCCCAGTTGGTGGAACTGTTTGGGAAGGATTAAGAGGCATGGCCTTGTTGGAGGAAGTATGCCATTGGGGGTGGGTTTGAGGCTTTAAAAGCCCACACCATTCCCAGTTAGCTATATCTCTCTCTCTGCCTCTTGCTTGTGGATCAGTTTTAAGCTCTCAGCTACTGCTCCAGGGCCATGCCTGCCTGTTGTCATGTTCCATGATGCTATGATAGTCTGGACTCTAACCCTCAGGAACCAAGTGTCCCAAATTAAATACTTTCTTTTATGAGTTGCCTTGGGCTGGGCATTGGTGGCGCACACCTTTAATCCCAGCACTCGGGAGGCAGAGGCAGACAGATCTCTGTGAGTTTTAGGCGAGCCTGGGCTACAGAGCAAGTGCTAAGACAGGCTCCAAAGCTACACAGAGAAACCCTGTCTTGGAAAAAAAAGCTGCCTTGGCCAAAGTCTCTTATTACAGAAGATGAAAATTAACAAAGACAATTATACAAACATATTTGTTGAAGAAATGCTTAATAAGGTTTATTAATCAGAAAGTCTCATGTATGATCCTATGTTTAGTCTAACCTGATCTTTCTACCAGTTCTTATTAAGAAACAACATTTGAAAAAAGTTTCCCCATTAAAATGTGTCATCATTTCTAAATTCTAAGTTAGTATCTTGCAAAGCATAAATTTCTTTTTCTACCACTGGTGTGCACCTCAGCTAATTCTGTATAGGTAAGTTCCCATTTTGCTTTACTTATCTTGTATACTTGCTATAATTTGATTTCTAGGGTTTTTTTTAAACCAGAAAATTAACCATTAATGTTTAAATGTTATCAAATGTTTCTTTTTACTAAAACAACCAAAACAAGCTGATTGATGGAGGGAGCTATCAAAAGCCAGAAAGATGATTTAAAGAATACAGATGTTTGTCACCAAGTCTGTGTGTAATTTCCAAAACATGCATGCACACACATATGTATGCACAAACACACACACAAATCAATCTTTAAAAATAAAAAAATTTAAAAAGTTAGTCTTATAATACATATGTAAATGCTTTGCCTGCATGTATGTGTACCATAAACATGCATGCAGATGTTCAAAGAGGATGTCAGATTCCCTGGAACTAGAGTTACAGGTGGTTGTGAGCCAGTGTGTAGGTGCTAGGAACAGAACCCAGGTCCTCTGCAAGAGCAAGTTCTTTTAACCACTGAGCAACCACTCCAGACCCCCTACAAATAAATCTTTAAATATATAAGTAAAATAAACAATTGAAAATGGAAGTTACTAGATACAATTTTATTTTAGGGCTAGGTAAGTGCTAACTCTTCTCCTAACCCTAAATCAAAATTGTATCCAATAACTTCCATTTCCAATTATTTCTTTTTATTGGTTAAATATGACAGTTCACTACAGAGCTGGGAATGCACCAAAAGTAAAGTGTTTGCCTGGCATATTTGAGTCCTTAGGTTCTATCCCTAGCTCCACAAAAACAAAACTTTGTTCTTTTTTTTCCAAGACAGGGTTTCTCTATGTAGCCCCAGCTGTCCTAGAACTTGCTTTGTAGACCAGGCTGGCCTCAACTCACAGAGATCTGCCTGACTCTACTTCCTGAGTGCTGAGATCAAAAGTCTGCACCCAGCCGCACTTCATATTTCTTTTTTTTTTTTTTTTTTTTTTTGGTTTTTCGAGACAGGGTTTCTCTGTGGCTTTGGATGCTGTCCTGGAACTCGCTCTGTAGACCAGGCTGGCCTCGAACTCACAGAGATCCGCCTGCCTCTGCCTCCCGAGTGCTGGGATTAAAGGCGTGCGCCACCAACGCCCGGCTTGCACTTCATATTTCTTAAATTCAATTACAGACTTTAAAAGTTAGGTATGGTGCCACATTTATATAATCTCATCATTTGAGAAACAGTTTAAAGCAATTTTGGGCAACACAGCATTTCTAGACAAGACTAGTCCTGGGCTAAAAAGCAAGATGATGGGGATGGGTAAAACATAACACTGACTACCTTACCTGCTGTCTTGATAATTGTACGGGTGGTGTCGTAGCACGTCCTGCAAAAAGCGTTCCATCAAACTGTTGTTCGTGGTTGTCCGACGCCGGCTCTGTCTGGTCAGGCTTCTGTGCTGAGCACTAAACAAGTGCTGCAAAGAAAAACAGTGGGGTTTTAAGTGAATTACTGCTACTCATGGTGACACAGAATGGACTCAAGTATGTCTTTGTTGTAGAAATATAAGTTGATATTCTTTCCATATAGCACTTCTAATACGTGTATCAAAACCATAAGTGTGTCTCCCAAAATATAGTTGTTACGTTCCTCTAAACACACCCTAAGGATGACATCAAAAATGATGCTTAACACACCATAATATAGTGACAAACCGGAAACTGTATAACAATATCCTTAAATCAAAATGTATACTAAGATGCAATAGCATACAATTGCCTAAAATAAAGAAACCATAATAACATAAAGAAATACTACGTATTAAGAGAAAAATCATATGTATGGTTCTATCTCAAGCTACATTTTAAAAATATACAGACAAGCAAATGGAAGAAAATGTACTAAAATTTTAAAAGCATACTTTTAAGCGATATTGTTAATGGACAATTTATAATTTTTCTTAAAATTTTTATATTTTCCAAAGAGTGTTTTCACAATAAAAAACTGAAAAGAGAGAGCAGGGTTGGATTATGGTATTAAAGAAGAACAAAGATTAACTAAAAAAAAACCCTTCATTTCTTTTCCTTCAGCGATTAAGAAGAATCCCGCCTTGGTAGGATATTGGTGTAAGCACATTAAAGTCTTCAGCTTTATACAGATCCTAGTATTAGTGGATTAGACATATGACAAGATGGAATCTAACACAGGCTGAACCGGACCATATGTCACACATAGGGTTACTCAATCCACCTAAAAGAGCTCACTCTCATTTTCACTCCGCAAGAACAGTGCCCTCTTCTGACACAAAGAGAGTGGGGCACAAAAAACTAAAAGCAAACCTCCTTAAATTCTGTATCCAGCAAAGCGCAAAGCTAGGATTTGAGTGTGAGCCAAACTGTAGGTTATGTGCTTTTCATGTCACATTGCTAATACAAATGGCAGATTATCACATATGTTCTTCATAATGCAACATGCTTTCATAACACTTAAGAAAAATCATGTTTTAATATATCATAGTTAAAGTACTATTTAAGAAAAACTAAAACTAAAACAGGTTGCTAGTTCCTGATCGCTGTTACAACTCTTGTAATTATTTCCTGTCATGTTAATGGAGAATTTTTCTGCAATGTTCCCTTAGCCCCAGGAACAATCAAATACGACTCTCAAAATCCTCTTGGTACAAACTCCCCCACTATCCAGTGCCCATCACCAGAGCTAGACTGCTGGTAATAAAAAAGGACAAGTGTACAAGGGAACAAAGAAAGATTCAACTAAAATCCAACCTTGTCCTCTCTACTAAGGCAAAAAGAGAAAGAGCAATGTGAATGGAGAACTGCACCTGAGTAAGCTGCAGGAGCCACCACATTATACATGCCCCACATGGTTTACTGAGAATTTTTCAACATACATATCATATAAAACACGCAAAATACTTGCATGTAGCGCACTAAACCATCACAGAATAAACATGTCCATAACCATCTGTCCACAAATATAAGCACCTAGAAATCCCTCTACTGCCCCATACCAATTTAATATGCCTTCCCTCATCCCCAAGTGTAACTATAACCCTGATTTCTAATACTATGGCATTAAAAGATTCGGAAAGTTATATAAATGACATCATACAACATGTATTCTTTTACACTGAGCTCCTCTCATTCCACCCTGCATTTATGATACTATTCAACATTAGCTATATTCTGTTCATCTTCATGTACACATCTGTACTTTATTGTAATAATGTATCGTATTTTGTGCATTCTGCTCTTGGTGGATTTTGGACATTACAAACAATGTTGCAAAGAACCTTGCTATTCATCTTGTGCGAAGAGGTACTCATATTTTGGGGGATAGATTACTGGGAGTAGAACTTCTATGTCACATAGTTCATGTAGGTTCAGTTTCAATACCTAGTCTTCCAAAGTGGTTGGAATAATTTATGCCTCAACCAACAGTATATCTTCATCTTCGCATTGTTCTACTTCATCATCAACACTTGGTATTCTGTATTTCACATTTTAGCTCCTGTAGAAAATGTTCAGTGCCATAATATCATGGCCTTAATCCACAATCTGATGATAGCTTCTTATTTTTACTGGCAATCCAGATTGTCTCTAATTAGGGGTCCATTCAAATTTCTTTCTGATGTTCTTTTTCTTTTTTCAAGGGTCTTCATTATGTCATCCAGGCTAGCCTTGAATTCATTATCCTCAACTCCACATTGTTAGGTTACAAGCAAATGCCACCATGCCAACTCCTCTTCCGGTTTTTCAAATACATATCTTCTTTATTAACTTGTAGAATTTATTTATTCTGGACACAATATCTTCGTTCAAGTATCATCTTCCTGTCTGTGGCTTGTCTTCTCAGTTCCTTTCTGTAGCTGGTCTGGTCTTCTCACTTCCTTTCTATAGTCTATCTTGCCTTCTCACTTCCTTTCTGTAGTCTATCTTGTCTTCTCACTTCCTTTCTGTAGTCTATCTTGTCTTCTCACTTCCTTTCTATAGTCTATCTTGCCTTCTCACTTCCTTTCTGTAGTCTATCTTGCCTTCTCACTTCCTTTCTGTAGTCTATCTTGTCTTCTCACTTCCTTTCTGTAGTCTATCTTGCCTTCTCACTTCCTTTCTGTAGCTGGTCTGGTCTTCTCACTTCCTTTCTGTATCTGGCCCTGTCTTCTCACTTCCTTTCTGTAGTCTATCTTGTCTTCTCACTTCCTTTCTGTAGCTGGTCTGGTCTTCTCATTTTCTTTCTATAGCTAGCTGATCTTCTCACTTCCTTTCTGCAGTCTATCTTGCCTTCTCACTTCTTTTCTGTAGCTGGTCTGGTCTTCTCACTTCCTTTCTCTTTCTGGCCTTGTCTTCTCACTTCCTTTCTCTAACTGGTCTGGTCTTCTCAATTCTTTTATGTAGCTGGTCTTGTCTTCCCACCTCCTTTCTGTAGCTGGTCTTTTCCCTTCTTTTCTATTGCTGACCTTGTTTTCTCTCTTTCTGTAGCTGGTCTGGTCTTCTCACTTCCATTCTGTAGCTGGTCTGGTCTTCTCACTTCCTTTCTGTGGCTGGTCTGGTCTTCTCACTTCCATTCTGTAGCTGGTCTGGTCTTCTCACTTCCTTTCTGTAGCTGGTCTGGTCTTCTCACTTCCTTTCTGTAGCTGGTCTGGTCTTCTCACTTCCTGTCTGTAGCTAGTCCTGTCTTCTCACCTCCTTTCGATAGCTGGTCCTGTCTTCTCACTTCCTTTCTGTAACCGGTCTTGTCTTCTCACTTCCTATCTCTAACTGGTCTGGTCTTCTCAATTCGTTTATGTAGCTGGTCTTGTCTTCCCACCTCCTTTCTGTAACTTGTCTTTTCACTTCTTCTATAGTTGGTCTTGTCTTCTCACTTCCTTTCTGTAGCCTGTCTTGTCTTCTTACTTCCTTTCTGCAGCTGGACTTCTCACTTTAACCACCTACCACTTTCTTAATTTTATTGCAGCCACTTTCTTAATTCTTTTCAATGTTTTTTGTTGACAGCTCTTCTTCACAAGTCATGAAGAGTTGCTCCTGTTTGTTATTAGTTCCTTTATTATTTTACCTACAACACTCACATCTATAAATCATTTGGAATGAATTTTTACACACAGGATGATTCAAAAATAGCTTTATTTTTTCCCAACTAGGTATTCAATTGGCACATCAGCATCTACTGGCAGCCAAGTCTTGTTCTTTGCTGCTCTGCAGTCACCTTTGTCACAGATTCAATACACAAATTTATCTATTTCTGGAGTTTGTTTCTTTGTTTTTTTCTAATTTTGCACCAAGACTGCCTTGTCTAATGAGTAAAGGTGAGTAAGAATGGTTATGTAATGGAAGACACCTATGCACTCAGGTCTTTAATAATATCTGGTTCTCATCTTTTCCATTTCCATCTTTATATTGGTTTAATTTTCATGCTAAAGCAAGCATGCGATCACTGAGCTAAATCCTCGGCCTTCAGTGTTTACAGATTGTAAGATTTTATACATATTTTATTATAATTATTCCTCAGAATTTTATTTTCTTTGATGTTACTATAAATGACATCTTTAGTTCTCATTATCTGCATATGTGAATATGATTTTTTCTGTTGGTCAAACCACCTTGGTTTTTTGTTTGTTTTTCAACCAAAGGCTCCCCCATGGTGTCCAGGCTGATCCCAAATGCATAGAATCAAATGACCCTTCTACTTCAGCCTCTTCAGAAGTTAGGACCACAGGCATGTCCTACCACACCTGACTCCAACAAGCTTTTAAACTCATTAATTCTAATAGTTGATCATTTTTGGCTTGCTAGTCCATCATCATGTTATGACAAACAACTGTATTGTATCTTTTTACCCAATTATCTTTATCATTTTAGTCATTTTCTTATCTTTTTCTTTCTTATTTCTGTGGCTAAGACCGACCATAAAGTATTAAATATAGTTTTATTTTTTCCTTTTTGAGTTGCTGTCATATACAGGAGACAAGTGCTCTACCACAGAAGTAAACACGCATGCACACACACGTAGTCATTGAACATATTTTTAATTTAAGCAGTAAGTCTATTTTCACTTGGGTATACTTAGAAGTCTGTTACTTATTATTCGTATGGGCATTTTCTCTCTTCTTCCTTCCTCTTTATTATTCTAATTTCCCCATTTTGTTAGCTCAGTAGTTACAGACTCTCTTCCTAGTCTACTAGTAGACAAATGATATGTCTAAACTATCAAAGTCTAAAATTACTATTTTATTCTCTCCTTAAACAATGTAAGATCCTTAGAAATTAACTACTTACTACCCTCCCAACCTACATCCCTGTTAATCCCACAAACATGATTTATTAATTGCCTACATATTTACCTGTCCATTGTTCTTCATTACTTCCTGATAGCTCTGAGCCTCCATCTGGAATCATTTTCCTTTTGCCTGAAGAACTCCTTTTAGTTTTTCCTTTAGTGAGGGTCTGCTGGTGACAAATTCCC